AAACAAATCAAAATATATTTTATATTTGAGATTCTTCAAAGTAGCCACCCTTTGCCTTGATGACAGCTTTGCACATGCGTGGCATTCTCTCAACCAGCTTCATGAGGTAGTAACCTGGAATGCATTTCAATTAACAGGTGTGCCTTGTTAAAAGTTAATTTGTGGAATTTCTTTCCTTCTTAATGCGTTTGAGCCAATCATTTGTGTTGTGACAAGGTAGGGGTGGTATACAGAAGATAGCCCTATTTGGTAAAAGACCAAGTCCATATTATGGCAAGAACAGCTAAAATAACCAAACAGAAACGACAGTCCATCATTACTTTAAGACATGAAGGTCAGTCAATACGGAATATTTTGAGAACTTTGAACGTTTCTTCAAGTGCAGTCGCAAAAACCATCAAGCGCTATGATGAAACTGGCTCTCATGAGGACCGCCACAGGAAGGGAAGCCCCAGAGTTACCTCTGCTGTAGAGGATAAGTTAATTAGAGTTACCAGCCTCAGAAATTGCAGCCCAAATAAATGCTTCACAGAGTTCAAGTAACAGACACATCTCAACATCTACTGTTCAGAGGAGACTGCGTGAATCAGGCCTTCATGGTCGAATTGCTGCAAAGAAACCACTACTAAAGGACACCAATAATAAGAAGAGACTTGCTTGTGCCAAGAAACACAAGCAATGGACATTAGACCGGTGGAAATCTGTCCTTTGGTCTGATGAGTCCAAATTTGAGATTTTTGGTTCCAATCACCGTGTCTTTGTGAGACGCAGAGTAGGTGAACGGATGATCTCTCCTTGTGTGGTTCACACCGTGAAGCATGGAGGAGTAGGTGTGATGGTGTGGGGATGCTTTGCTGGTGACACTGTCTGTGATTTATTTAGACTTTAAGGCACACTTAACCACCATTGCTACCACAGCATTCTGCAGCGATACGCCATCCCATCTGGTTTGCGCTTAGTGGGACTATAATTTGTTTTTCAACAGGACAATGACCCAAAACACACTGGCTGTGTAAGGGCTATTTGACCAAGGAGAGTGATGGAGTGCTGCATCAGATGACCTGGCATCCACAATCACCCGACCTCAACCCAATTGAGATGGTGTGGGATGAGTTGGACTGCAGAGTGAAGGAAAAGCAGCCAACAAGTGCCCAGCATATGTGGGAACTCCTTCAAGTTGGAAAAGCATTCCTCTTGAAGCTGGTTGAGACAATGCCAAGAGTGTGCAAAGCTGTCATCAAGGCAAAGGGTGAATACTTTGAAGAATCTAAAATCTATTTTGATTTGTTTAACACTTTTTTGCTTACTACCTAATTCCGTATGTGTTATTTCATAGTTTTGATGTCTTCACTATTATTCTATAATGTAGAAAATAGTGAAAATAAAGAAAAACCCTTGAATGAGTTGGTGCATCCAAACTTTTGAATGGTACTGTATATATATATATATATATATATATATATATATATATGTCTATTTCCTTTTGAAAATCTGCAACTGAACCACACAATTATATCTAGTGAGAGTACACACAACATTTAGCTTATTTTACCAGGTCAACAATAACATAATTTTTTCAAGGGAGACCTGGCATAGAGGGCAGAGTTCTCAAGTAAAAGGCATATTCATAGCAGCAGCAATGGTATGGATGAAGACAATGTGATACCACCACCGCTGCATGAATGTGTCATCTCTCTATAATGTTGGGTCATTTAACAATTTCCAGACCCAAATAATAACAGAACAGTATGGAAGGCTACTGTTGCTGTATTGTAGCCTACTCTACCCCACCCCATCAACCAACTACTAGCTAGTGACAAGGCTACGTTGTTATCATTTAGTAATGTTGTAGCCTACTGTACACCACATTAATACTGTAGCCTACTGTACACCACATTAACCACCTACAGTAGCTAGCTAGTGATAGCTTAGCTAGCTAGCTACAAAGAAACAACCAATGATATCAACAGGCCTTTTAACTAAACATCTAGCTAATTAGTATGATTGCATGTAAGATAACTTTAGTTCGAAAGCAAAGTTGACTTACCGGTCTGCTGTTCTTGGGAACTTTATGGTGGCATCCACATAGGAGGTTTGCTAGCTAGCGCTGTTAGTGTTAGCTAGCTAGCAGCGCTAACGTTAGAATGTTAGCTATCAAACTATCCAGGAAGAATTTAGAGGTCAAAAACGAAAGAAACGCCACGCGGGGGCAGCCAAAGGTTGCATGTTCGAATCCAGCGATATAAAGTTGTTTTTGATATTCATAGTTTTAAGCCTATCCCAAACCTTAACCCTTACCTTAACCATTCGGAGTTAATACCTTAAAAATTCAGAGTTAATGCCTAACCATAAGAATTCGGAGCTAATGCTTAAACTTAACCTTGGAATGATACAGAGAAGTAACTTCGAAATTTGACATTTGAAACAACTTCGAAATGTGACATTTGTGAAACATGAATGAATGTCTAATTCTGACGTGAGACTGTGAGAGCTTGTGGGTTGTTCTGTTAAAGTATAATGAGGCAATGTATAAATACATTTAGCCACTGTGACCCAAGGTGTGTCTGTGACCTTCATATTTTACCAGGTGGTGCAGGGACACACATTCACACACACACACACACACACACACACACACACACACACACACACACACACACACACACACACACACACACACACACACACACACACACACACACACACACACACACACACACACACACACACACACACACACACACACACACACACACACACACACAGAGGGAGTAGTTGTGGGTGGGCAGTACAGGGGTATGCTGACCCATGTTTTACTGGGCAGAGGGACAGTCTGGATCACATCACATCACACACAGACAGGAGAGGACAGGAGAGAAGAGGACACACTGGACCTGAGAAAGTGATATCACTGCCTCTCCCATCTCCTCTCTCCTTTCCTTCCTTCCTTCCTTCCCATCCTCCTCTTCTTTTCTCTCCTTACCAATGCCCTCCACTCCTCTCACCCCTCCTCTGCTCTCCCACCCTCCTCTCCTTCCCTCTCCTTCCACACCCCCTTTCCCCGCCTCTCCTCCCAACCCCTCCCGCTAAGCCCTGCCCAGCCATAGCCCAGCCAATGTATGAGATCATGATTATAAATCTAAGGCTATAAGTCTACTGACACTCTGGCACAGTGGCTTTAAACTGTTAACTGACATTAACAGCTTCCAAACCAGCACTTTTCTGTTTTGCACTCTTACTCATATGAACATTCAAAACAGTAAAGTAAAAAGTGAGTGCCTATTTATCTTTGCAGTGAGTGGAAAACACTTTTCCCTTACCTGTGGCATTGAAGAAACAGACTTCTGAGGCAAAATCTCTTTCCATCCTCATTAACATAAACAAATGAACAAGTAGAGGAAAAGAAGACTCTGACAGAATGAGAGAGAATAAGAAATAATGTAATGTCTCCTTGAGAAGGAATTATGTTTATTACCTGAGAGGCAAGGAGAGCAGAGGAGACGGTTGGAGAGGAGAGGGGATGAAAGGGTTGGAAAGGAGAGGGGAGGAGACAGCCTTCGCTCTGGCTGTTTATCCCAGCTCAACCTTGGGTAGAAACATGTAACAAATCTATATTTTCTAACTGCTGTATATCAATAGGAAGCCATTCTCTCTCTGAACAATGTTCTGAAGCTGCTGTGAAAGTTTCTCCTCCTGTCTTGGGTTCGTCCTGCTGTCCTTGGAGCACAAAGTAGAATGAGGTCCCTCACCCCTGTAACTTTATGAATACGGCTAGCCACTCAATGCCAGTCATTTCTCCAAGCCCAAAACCACCTTTTCTAAACACTATAGAGGCAGTGTGGAGGTCTTTGTTCAGGCCCTCCCCTGGACTACCAAATGTGCTAACACTCTCTCAAGGCTCATGCACTCACAAGAGGCAACTAGAGAATTAGCCTGTACACTTCACACTTTTTCATCTGACCTTTCCTATACTTGGTGCCCCCTATGTCTCTCTCTCTCTCTCTCTCTCTCTCTCTCTCTCTCTCTCTCTCTCTCTCGCTCAACCCGTGATACAATCTGAGAGAAAAACATTATTCCTGAATATTGCCTCCCCCTTCCTCCAGGTTAGTCACCCCTCCCACGGTGACAGATGTGCAGGGAGCGTTGAGTCATGACACCATAATTCAAGCGTTCCCGTTTTCATGGTCCAATCAATAACAGTGTGTCCGAGTCAAGGTTAGCGCCAGGCCTTCACAGCGCTGCTCTCTCTGTTCCTTTCACATAGAAAATCAGATAAATTCTCCCTACAATAATTAAGCCTTCAGCTCTGTCTCTGGCCTATTTTCTACCGGCTAACAGCTGATTAACGGTGCTGTGAGGGAGTCAAGGCAAAACCCTAAGAATAGAGTATCTCTGTCACACACACAGACACACACATGCCCACACAAACAGACATAGAGCAGCTTTAGGGACAGTGAGATAAATATACAGACCGTTGTATCCAAACAGAACTGGATAACCTCAAGGGTATAGAATCAGTCAGTCTGTCTGTCTGCCTCCTCCTCCCCTTCACTTTGTGTGATATAATGTGTATACCATGAGATACAGTATGTCCTTTTCCTGTATAGGCTATTTTAAACTAATTGAATGGGTGATGCTGCTTAACATGTTGTTTTATGCTCCATACTGGAATGACCTTACTATTTATCTTGCAGCAGCTGGCTCCCTCTCAGTGCATGTGCTGGGGAGGACTGGAGCGTCACAGGGAGAGAGAGGCAGGAGAGAGAGAGAGTGAGCATGAGTGAGTGGGAGGCGTCTCAGAAGTGTAAATAGTCTAAACAACAAGTCCTCAAAGCCTGCCAGCCGGGAGCTAGTATAAATGTGCTGCTGTAAATGTGCCCCGCGGGGGTAATAGCCCCCCCCCCCCCCCCCCCCCCCCTCTGTCTATCTCTGACCTCCAACTCTTCAAATCGTCCTACAGACACACAGAGCAGCACCGGATGTAGCGGGCGCCACTGGCCATGACCACTCTGGAGGGCTGCCACTGTCGGGGCGACGGGGGGCAAAACTATAACAACAGCATCCTGTACAACATACTGAAGAACGACAGCCTCGCGACCACGGAGGAACCAACATCACAACCACAACACCGCAAACAGCACCAAGCGATCAAGGTCCCCTCCTGTGCCTCCCTCTCCTCCTCATGTTCATCTGCTTCTTCCTCTTCTTCGAGGCTTGAGCTCAGGCAGCAACAGGCTTGCTCTTGCGGCTCCTCGCCGCGACGGGGGTCTCTCCGGTCCCCGCAGGTGACCTGCAAAGCCGCATCGGCAGTCCTCGTGAAGACTCTGCGATTTGTAAAGAACGTGCAGTGTTTCCGCGAGCTGCCCGAGGATGACCAGCTGCTGCTCGTTCGGAACGGCTGGGCGCCGCTGCTCGTGCTGGGCCTCGCGCAGGACCGGGTGGACTTCGAGACCATGGAGACCGCGGAACCTAGCATGTTGCAGCGGATCCTGACCAGTGGCTGTGTCAGCCAAGGCGGCTTAATGGACAGAGAGGTTGAGCGGGAGCAGAGCGCGGGAACACCGGGGGTCTCTCTCGCGGATATCCAGGGCATCAAAGCGTTCCTGAAAAAGTGTTGGGGTTTGGACATCAGTACCAAGGAATATGCCTACCTCAAAGGAGCCGTGCTCTTCAACTCAGGTGGGCTGGGTGCTTTAATACGCAGCTTATTTACTCACTAATCATTGTCTCAATGTGTCCTTGATGGAGTGCATGTAATGGTATAGCCCAATTAGCCTACATTTCCCATCTGCAATTTAATACATTACTCTGTCTCTAGTTCTAAAAGTTTGGAAAGCAGTTACATATTTGTATATTATACAGAAAACAAACAAAGCTGATTTCATATGTGGGTAATTTCGTGCATAATGACACATTTGGTCGTTCCACCAATTAAGCCTATAGCTGCCTTTTGAGTATAGTACCTTGGTGAAAAAAAACGAATCACCTAATTTTTACATACTGCCATAAAGAGCACATATTCAACTGAATAAAATACATGTTTTTCCATCTCAAGAGCAAAAAAAAATACGATAGTAAGTGCCAATGAAGTGCCAATTGAAGTAACAGGGTTGACCATAACAGTGTTCATCTTAAATCAGCCATATATCTTCTTGTGACAGGGGGAATGGAAGCTTGTTGTGTGCAACAGGGAGGGGCAATTGAATGCAAGCTTCACAAAACAACATTTATTTGTTAAAACATGTTTAGCCTGTCTACAGTATCTATGGGTAACAGGGTTGAAGTTTTATGTTTGACCCACTTAGTTTTCCACGACAAAACACAATAAAATGGCCAAAAATAGTATAAATAATCTTCAGAAATGACTTTGTCAAAGTAACAAAAATACTTTGACAAAGTATGTTGTGGTTAAGTGGGTTAAAATCTTCCTGGATGTCACAGAGGATGCACAAAGGGACGTCAAAATGCAGAATTTTGGCACTTGATTATATTAAAAAACTGATTTATTTAATTTTCCATGTGGTCTATATTAAAGGGCACTTCATTTAATATAACAGTCTTTTTAAATTATATATTTGTGCACCATTTCTACTTTAAATATGAAAGGCACTCAAGGTCTATATATATATTTATAATCTAGTTATACCAAAACATACACTGAGTGTACAAAACATTAGGAACCCCTTTTGCCATCAGAACAGCCTCAATTAATCGGGGCATGGACTCTACAAGGTGTCGAAAGCGTTCCACAGGGATGCTGGCCCATGTTGACTCCAATGCATCCCACAGTTTTGTCAAGTTGGCTGGATGTTCTTAGGGTGGTGGACCATTCTTGATACACACGGGAAACTGTTGAGCTGGAAAAACCCAGCAGCATTGCAGTTCTTAACAGACTCAAACCGGCGTGCCTTGCCCCTACTACCATACCCTGTTCAAAGGCACTTAAATATTTTGTCTTGCCCATTCACCCTCTGAATGGCACACATACACAATCCATGTCTCAATTGTCTCAGGGCTTAAAAATCCTTCTTTAACCTGTCTCCTCCCCTTCATCTACACTGATTGAAGTGGATTTAACAAGTGACATCAATAAGGGATGATCGTTTTCACCTGCATTCACCTGGTCAGTCTATGTCATGGAAAGAGCAGGTGTTTTTAATGTTTTGTACACTCAGTGTACAATCACCCTTATTAGCCTATTCATTCCCTGAATCTACTTCTAAGGAAGGAGGTAGCAGTTTATGGTATTGTTTTAGGGTTGAAGAGATTTGCATCCTTCAATATCTGGAGACTTCAGAAACCTTGCCAGAGGGCGTTGTGAAATATTTGTGAATGATTTGGGAGATCAAGACGTTCTCATTTTTCAACAGATGAGACACCTGGTTACCATGGTGACCCGGGTTCCCTGAACTTCAACCCAAACAGCTTATGTAATTGTCAAAAGTTTCTATATGATGAGTGGCGCAGTGGTCTAAGGCACTGCATCGCAGTGCTAGCTGTGCCACTTGAGATCCTGGTTTGTAGCCGGCCGTGACCGGGAGACCCATGGGGCGGCGCACAATTGGCCCAGTGTCGTCCAGGTAGGGGAGGGAATGGCCGGCAGGGATGTAGCTCAGTTGGTAGAGCATGGCATTTGCAATGCCAGGGTTGTGGGTTCGATTCCCACAGGGGGCCAGTATGATATTTATAAAAATAAAATAATGTATGCACTAAATGTAAGTCGCTCTGGATAAGAGCGTCTGCTAAATGACTAAAATGTAAATTTAATGATTCTCCTCCCCTACTATCTCCTCTCCACCTCTCCCCAGATCTCCCAGGTCTGTGCTACGTCAACTACATCCAGTCACTGCGGCGCGAGGCCCACCAGGCGCTCAACGAGCATGTGAAGCTGATCCACCGGGACGACACCACGCGCTTCGCCAAACTGCTCATCGCCCTGGCCATGCTGATGGCCATCAGCCCCCCGGTGGTGGCACAGCTCTTCTTCAAGCCCATCATTGGAGCCGTCAACATGGAGGAGGTCCTGCTGGAGATGTTCTATGGGAAGTAGAGGCTTTCTATGGTCCTGTCCAGAAACAACCCCTAGATATAGCCCCCAAATCCTAGGCACTTCTCCTAGTCCTTACTCCCTAGGCAATTTCACCTATCTCCTACCCACTAGAAACTTCACCTTGCCCTAGACCCTTCCCCCCATTTCCCCTAGCCCCTAGCTCCTATTGGATAATAATAAGCAAAAAACTAAGCCCTCTGGTAGGCTATAAAGGAACAATATGATAGCTCCACCTTGCCCTCCGGTAGGCTATAAAGGAACAATATGATAGCTCCACCTTGCCCTCCGGTAGGCTATAAAGGAACAATATAATAGCTCCACCTTGCCCTCCGGTAGGCTATAAAGGAACAATATGATAGCTCCACCTTGCCCTCCGGTAGGCTATAAAGGAACAATATGATAGCTCCACCTTGCCCTCCGGTAGGCTATAAAAGGAACAATATGATAGCTCCACCTTGCCCTCCGGTAGGCTATAAAGGAACAATATGATAGCTCCACCTTGCCCTCCGGTAGGCTATAAGGAACATATGATAGCTCCACCTTGCCCTCCGGTAGGCTATAAAGGAACAATATGATAGCTCCACCTTGCCCTCCGGTAGGCTATAAAGGAACAATATGATAGCTCCACCTTGCCCTCCGGTAGGCTATAAAGGAACAATATGATAGCTCCACCTTGCCCTCCGGTAGGCTATAAAGGAACAATATGATAGCTCCACCTTGCCCTCCAGTAGGCTGTAAAGGAACAATATGATAGCTCCACCTTGCCCTCCGGTAGGCTATAAAGGAACAATATGATAGCTCCACCTTGCCCTCCGGTAGGCTATAAATGATTTTTTTTTGCTATATTACATCTATCAAATCCTCTCAGATCAACACCTGTGGGGTTAGTTCTGGACTGGACCTTTCTATCTAACGGACAGACGAACACATCTAGTAGAACTAACTAACTGTTAACCAACCGTTAGATCTGAATGGACCGTTGAACAGAAGGACAGACAAAGAAAGAAATGTGTGTGTTTTGTTAAAGATGTTTTGGACACTGTGGTTGGTTAAGAACAGTGGGGGTGAAGGGGGGTGTTGGGGGTGGGCTGATGATCAGTCTCAGTAACTTATTTCTTTTTACATAAAACTATTTTGATATAATAAAAGTATTCTCTGAACTGCTTTGCCGTGCTTGTGTCAGGTGAGTGGTGCTCAGACTGTCTCTATGGTGATCAGAAAGGTGTAGGATGATGTTGCCCCTGGACACTGATCTAAGGCTGGAGTGGAGCTTTACCCCCTAATGATTAAGGTTAGGGATAAAATCTTCCTAGATCTGTGCCTAAGGGCAACATCTACCCAGACAGATCAGAAAACCCAATGTTCCTTTTTAGTAACTGGTAGATTATGGGTTCTGAATAAAGTTTGATGTCTGTTCACAGTTCGCTGCTCCCACATGTGATCTTTCATTCAACACTGGTCTGAATTGGGAGCAGCAAACATGGAGCTGACATTCCCTTTTTTTCTACAGTTGTCCTTCTCTGTTCAGGTTGGAACGTTCTCTTTTCATCAGAGTGTGTGATCTGAGCCCTAGGAAGCTAGTTTGTACACGGCAGTGAAGAATGGCCTTCGTCAATACTGATTGGTAGAAATCCCAGTATAGCTCAGGGCTTGGTTTTATAAGTCCTCTACCACTCACTATTGTCCTGGATTCACATCTCCCCATGTTGATATTCAGCTCATACTCTGGTTTCCAGACTCAATAGATTTTTCCTGTGTCTCTGTCTGAGGTAATAGGTGATTGTTGCCGCGCTATTGAGATACAGTGAGTTAATTTATCATGCTAGCACTCAGCTCTGAGGGTTACTGTATCCACTGTAGGATTATCACGAGGCTGGTAAGAGAGACAGCAATGGACTGTTATGGCCACAAGATGGCACGGTTTAAACACATATCACACTGATAGTGTCTCACGCATGCGCACGCACACACAAACACACACACACCAACACACACACACACACACACAACCCAGCTTCAGGGCAGTCACAGGTGCGCATAATAAAATCTTGAGGAAATGACCTGCAGAGTTGGATTGCCTCCGGGAGTGTTTCGCTTCTCTCTCCAAATCCCATCATCAATGGGCAGGATATTCCGGGGAACAAATGGGAATGCTACTCTGGCCAAGATCTGCAGGAGGATAGGGAATCGGGGTGGGGAGAGCTGCACAACACCTCAAAGACACAAAACTTGTAGAGTTTTAGGGCTCGATTCAATCCGGTTTCTAGAGAAAACAATCTTCCTACCCTGTTGTTGTACTGTAGGACTGTGTGTGTGTGTACGTGTGTGGGTGTGACAGATGAGGAGCAGGGAAGCAATGGAGCGCAGAGACACAAGACGGTCAGGCGCTCTGAGCGATCAGAACAGCGCACCCGTGTGCAACCACGCATCGCAACCAAGGACTGGGGATGAGTGTGTGTGTGTGTGTGTGCGACTGTGCGTGGGGAGGAGCCGGCGGCAAAAGGAGTGTGAGCTGTTACCGTGACGATGAGGGATTCCAGAACCTGTGGGTGGACCCCAAGCCCCCATCCCCCATCAGACCTTACCCCTTTACTCTGGTGTAGACCTGAAATAATTGGATAGGTGTAAGCATGATGGTAGCTCCACTTTGTCCCCTGATAGTCCCGATATATAACCGCACCCCTTTCCCCACTCCTCTCTACACACTAAAGGTCTGTCGATCGTTCCTCCATCCTATTGACGGGGCCCATTTTCTTTCTAATTAAGCCCCTAATTGATCAAGATAATAAAGAGTCTATTAATCGTGTGTCTAGTAATAAAAGGCCAGCTGTCAGGCAGAAGGTTGGCAGACAACACAACCCCACACACAAGGTATATCACTGATGCCTGCCACCATGGTGTGTGTGTGTGTGTGTGCGAGAGTGTGTGTGTGTGTGTGTGTGTGTGTGTGTGTGTGTGTGTGTGTGTGTGTGTGTGTGTGTGTGCGAGAGAGAGAGAGATTACATGATGTGTGTGTATTCATGCCAGCCTGCCACTCACTGGCCATGTTACTGCGTGTGATTATGTGTGCACGTGTGTGGGGATCCTATTATTGTCTCATTGCGCCATTGCTAATTTAACATTAATCCAACAGGTGGCAGTGTTTGACTGTTTAATCATCATCTTTTCATGTAGCCTGCCTACGGTAGGTACTACTTACAGAGCGGAACTATTCAATTCTGGTCCTGGAGAGCTAAAACACTTCTGGCTTTTGGACCATGGAAGACTGTGTAAAATGAACAGAACATAAATGAATCAAGAGGAGATCAACATTTTTAATGTGCAGTGAGAAAGTAAGGGCAACTGATAAGAATGATTGTGTTTCTATAAAGATAGACATTTCCTTCCAAGTGAATATCGTGTTTATATATATATATATATATTTATATAAATATCTATATCATATATAGAATATGTATCTATTTGCTATGCATACTCAGAAATAACACCTTCAAATATAATTAAAAAAGTATTTCAAAGCACAAACACAGTTTTTCTTTCGTTAAACATGATCTGGATAAACATGGATTAAAAACAAAGAATTCTCAGTATGGGAAAATATTTCAAGAACTCAACCAAAACATTGAAAATGCATTTACTTTTTGAATCAAAATTAATCATGTCTTAAAGGTCCAATGCAGCCGTTTTTATCTCACTATCAAATCATTTCTGGGTAACAATTAAGTACCTTACTGTGATTGTTTTAAATTAAAATGGTCAAAAATAGCTTCTTAGAAAATATCAAATTCACATGCAAGAATTTTGCTAGGACTGTCTGAAAGTGCTTTGAGTGGTAAGGGGAAAATTGAAAATGTGCTGTTATTGGCAGAGAGGTTTATTGGTCTAATTCACCATGGAAGACCAAAACTCCCTCCAAAACAGGCTGAACAAACAGCTTTTCAAACAGCTCTCACACTAAAAGGGCCTTATCATTTTCACAATTTCACAGTATTATTCCAACCTCATAGTGTAGAAACATATATATAAAACACAGGAAAATCACGTTTTTGACTGCACTGGGCCTTTAACAAACCAGGGACCACATAGCAAAGTAGTGTACAAAACCACCTAACACACACACACACACCTCTCCCTCCCCCTTCATGTCAGATGCAATGTAAATAAGTATGACTTTCCAAGCAAACTCTTTTTGTTATAAAAATATACTTATTTTTAAAATAATCTACAGATTTATTTTTAAGGTGAGGCATTTCAGTATCACGCTAAAACAGCAAGGCTGTTTGTTTTTATAGAAAATATGAAGCTTTAGAGAGAGCTCTGACTGACTGACAGACTGACTGACTGGAGAGGACTAGGACCACTCCCTAACTCCTCCCCTTCCTCTGGTCCACAGGAAGTTCCATCAACATCACCAGTAGCTCATCCTTCTTTTTGCATATTCTATGATTTTTTAAAGAGTGTTTTTAAAACTAGATATACAACCTTATACAGGTCAACAAAAAGAAGATGCTGCTCCTTGGAGAAAAACGTTACAATGTCCAGCCAATTCCCCAAAAGTGTTTTAAAAAAAAGGATCTCTTAAACTACATAAAGTCAAGATAAAAAACACAACAGCGCAGATACATGACATACTCGCTTTCTTCGTAAGCATATCGAAATAAAAAAGGAAAATAAATAAAAACCAGAAAAAATAGAAATATATAAATCTGTGTGACAAGTTAAAGCAAAGTAGAGAAGGCAACAAACATGATTGAATAAAAACAACAACATAAAAACACAAACAGGAAGACACTTATGCTACAAATAAATTGAAAATATATGTACAAGACCCTGTTTTCCTTTAGTGTGTGTGTGTGTGTGTGTGCGAGTGCACAAGTGCCAAAGTGTGTGGGTTCTTTTATTTTTTATTCACAGTTCATGTTGATCAAACTCTGATGTCTTTTGATCAAACTGTTTGTTGTTGTCAGTTAAGAACTTCTCCTCTGCATACATAAGGACCACGTTCCAAACCAAACCTGCCCCGACTTTGTCTTGCCTGTTCACAGGGGTCCATTCCAAACCAAACTCATCACAATCTCTCAGATATATTTAAAGTAGTCAATCAGAACTGGCTCATAGAAGCGTGACACCAAACCGATCCAAAGCGATCCAAGCCAAACCAGACCAGACCAAATCAAACCAGACCAAACAGTGCCATGTTTCTCTGCTAGTGTCGTATGGTTCTAGCCTTCCCCGCCCCGGTCACCAGATGACGCTGGAGATGCTGGTCTCCCTGGGCAACAGCGGCAGCATGGCGTGGTTAGTGTGGTCCTCCTCCACGCTGTGCTCGCGGCTCTTCCCCGCCGGCGGCCTCTGTCCGTTCAGCATCGTCAGCGGGATGTTGCAGTAGGTGTGCTGGTTGCCTAGTGACGACAACGGCGGTAGCGTGCCCCCCGGCGGCAGGTCGTACTCGTAGCTGCGGTAGTAGTGTTTCTGCCGCATGGTCGTGTGGTACGAGTTGTGGAAGGACGAGCGGAGCTCTGGGTGCGCCGTGGCCATGGCGGTGGAGGTGGCGGCTGCCATGGAGATGGTGGAGACGGTCTGGAGCTCGCCGAAGGGGCCCTGCTCGCTGACGTCCAGCGCCGGCTCGTGGCTCAGCATGGGTTCAGTGCGGCGGAAGGGCATCTCATACTGCAGCTGCTTCCAGAACTTGGAGCTGAGCATGTTGCTCTTGGGGCCACGCCACTTGATGACGGTGAGGGTCTTGATGGTGTGTTTGAGGGCCTCCACCTCTTGGTAGTTCATGATGCCACGCAGCTCGGCACACTCGATCAGAATCACCTTGATCTCCCCGGTGACCAGCATGTTGCGGAGGCGTGTCTCCAGCTCAAAGATGCTCCACCCCCGCCGCACCACGTAGTTGGGCGTCATGACGATGATGAGGCGCTTGGATTGGTCCACACAGCGCGCCACATCCTCAATGTATGCTGGATAGATAGGGAGAGAGAGAATCCAAAGTACTCAGCATACAATCAATCTCCTTGAAAGGGAAAACTCAAAACAGCTTAGATTATTCTATACACTAACCTATTTTCTATAACATGTTTTGTATACAGTAACATATTTTCTATAACATGTTTTGTATACAGTAACATATTTTCTATAACATGTTTTGTATACAGTAACCTATTTTCTATAACATGTTTTGTATACAGTAACATATTTTCTATAACATGTTTTGTATACAGTAACCTATTTTCTATAACATGTTTTGTATACAGTAACCTATTTTCTATAACATGTTTTGTATACAGTAACCTATTTTCTATAACATGTTTTGTATACAGTAACCTATTTTCTATAACATGTTTTGTATACAGTAACCTATTTTCTATAACATGTTTTGTATACAGTAACCTATTTTCTATAACATGTTTTGTATACAGTAACATCTTTTCTATAACATGTTTTGTATACAGTAACATATTTTCTATAACATGTTTTGTATACAGAAACATATTTTCTATAACATGTTTTGTATACAGTAACATATTTTCTATAACATGTTTTGTATACAGTAACATATTTGTTGGAACATGATGTGGACAAGACACATCTAGCACACCACTCACAATACACAGAGACAATGGATGGACAACTACAAGACATACAACCCCAAACAGAGACAGCAGTCAGACAACAGTTTAGTGTTTAAACAGTAACTGCATCACAGGAGGCTGCTGAGGGGAGGACGGCTCATAATAATGGCCGGAACGCCGCAAATGGAATGGCATCAAACACCTGGAAACCATGTTTGATGTAGTTGATATCATTCCACTGATTCCGCTCCAGTCATTACCACGAGCCCGTTCTCCCCAATTAAGGTGCCACCAACCTCCTGTGGACTACAACTGTTCTTAGTCAACTCTCTGTACCTACATCACTTTCTCATCTCTCTCTCTCTCTCTGAGGTTTTTGGATCTGTGTGTGTCTGTGTGCAATGGCATGTGTGTTTGTGTACGTGATTGTGTGTGTGTGCCTATGTTTGTGTGCTAGAGTGTGTGTGTTCTGACTTAAAAGCTATGCTCCTGCTGTGTAAACTCTTACAAAATGGCCGCCTTAAGCTTCTCTACCTGTCCAGAGAGGAAGTGCATCACAGTTGCTGACATAAGAGGAAGAGACTGAGGACGTGTACCTCTAAGAAGTCTTGTGTCATCCTGGTAAAGTTCATTGGCCAGACCTAAACATAAACATGTCAACATTGAGACTCAGATCACAGGAGAACACACAGAGCACACAAACAGCAAAGAGGACTTGTGTAACACTGGCATATGTGTTACACTATAATTTATTATTTTGCTCTCTCTTTCTCTAACACACACACAAAAACTGGAACAGTTGTTTAGCAACTTGCTGTATAACTCTGACTAGGGAGTAGCTTCTCCGTTCAGCTGTCTATCTCTCATCCAGCAGTACAGTAACTACAGTAAGAGCCTCTATGATGTCCCATTCTGTCTGAAGCTGCCTACCATACAGCCTGAGCAGTAGTCTCACTGGATGTGTTCACTCTTTCGCTCTATTCCACATGAAACCCAGCTAGATGTAGTAATAGATACTGAACATCCAGACCCAGCTAGACGTAGAGCCGTGGTAATAAATACTGAACATCCAGACCCAGCTAGACGTAGAGCCGTGGTAATAGATACTGAACATCCAGACCCAGCTAGACGTAGAGCCGTGGTAATAGATACTGAACATCCTGACCCAGCTAGACGTAGAGCCGTGGAAATAGATACTGAACATCCTGACCCAGCTAGACGTAGAGCTGTGGTAATAGATACTGAACATCCAGACCCAGCTAGAAATAGAGCTGTGGTAATAGATACTGAACATCCTGACCCAGCTAGACGTAGAGCCGTGGTAATAGATACTGAACATCCTGACCCAGCTAGACGTAGAGCTGTGGTAATAGATACCTAACATCCAGACCCAGCTAGACGTAGAGCTGTGATAATAGATACTGAACATCCTGACCCAGCTAGACGTAGAGCTGTGGTAATAGATACTGAACATCCTGATCCAGCTAGACGTAGAGCCGTGGTAATAGATACTGAACATCCTGACCCAGCTAGACGTAGAGCCGTGGTAATAGATACTGAACATCCTGACGCAGCTAGACGTAGAGCTGTGGTAATAGATACTGAACATCCAGACCCAGCTAGACGTAGAGCTGTGGTAATAGATACTGAACATCCTGACCCAATAAGACGTAGAGCCGTGGTAATAGATACTGAACATCCTGACCCAGCTAGACGTAGAGCTGTGGTAATAGATACTGAACATCCTGACCCAGCTAGATGTAGAGCTGTGTTAATAGATACTGAACATCCTGACCCAGCTAGACGTACAGCCGTGGTAATAGATACTGAACATCCTGACCCAGCTAGACGTAGAGCTGTGGTAATAGATACTGAACATCCAGACCCAGCTAGACGTAGAGCTGTGGTAATAGATACTGAACATCCTGACCCAATAAGACGTAGAGCCGTGGTAATAGATACTGAACATCCTGACCCAGCTAGACGTAGAGCTGTGGTAATAGATACTGAACATCCTGACCCAGCTAGATGTAGAGCTGTGTTAATAGATACTGAACATCCTGACCCAGCTAGACGTGGAGCTGTGGTAATAGATACTGAACATCCTGACCCAGCTAGATGTAGAGCTGTGGTAATAGATACTGAACATCCAGACCCAGCTAGACGTAGAGCTGTGGTAATAGATACTGAACATCCAGACCCAGCTAGACGTAGAGCTGTGGTAATAGATACTGAACATCCAGACCCAGCTAGACGTAGAGCTGTGGTAATAGCTACTGAACATCCTGACCCAGCTAGACATAGAGCTGTGGTAATAGATACTGAACATCCAGACCCAGCTAGAAATAGAGCTGTGGTAATAGATACCTAACATCCAGACCCAGCTAGACGTAGAGCTGTGGTAATAGATACTGAACATCCTGACCCAGCTAGACGTAGAGCTGTGGTAATAGATACCTAACATCCTGACCCAGCTAGACGTAGAGCTGTGGTAATAGATACTGAACATCCTGACCCAGCTAGACATAGAGCTGTGGTAATAGATACTGAACATCCTGACCCAGCTAGACGTAGAGCTGTGGTAATAGATACTGAACATCCTGACCCAGCTAGACGTAGAGCTGTGGTAATAGATACTGAACATCCAGACCCAGCTAGAAATAGAGCCATGGTAATAGATACTGAACATCCTGACCCAGCTAGACGTAGAGCTGTGGTAATAGATACTGAACATCCTGACCCAGCTAGATGTAGAGCTGTGGTAATAGATACTGAACATCCTGACCCAGCTAGACGTAGAGCTGTGGTAATAGATACCTAACATCCTGACCCAGCTAGACGTAGAGCTGTGGTAATAGATACTGAACATCCTGACCCAGCTAGACGTAGAGCTGTGGTAATAGATACTGAACATCCTGACCCAGCTAGATGTAGAGCTGTGGTAATAGATACTGAACATCCTGACCCAGCTAGACGTAGAGCTGTGGTAATAGATACTGAACATCCTGACCCAGCTAGACGTAGAGCCGTGGTAATAGATACCTAACATCCAGACTCAGCTAGACGTATAGCTGTGGTAATAGATACCTAATATCCTGACCCAGCTAGATGTAGAGCCGTGGTAATAGATACTGAACATCCTGACCCAGCTAGACGTAGAGCTGTGGTAATAGATACTGAACATCCTGACCCAGCTAGACGTAGAGTTGTGGTAATAGATACCTAACATCCTGACCCAGCTAGACATAGAGCTGTGGTAATAGATACTGAACAACCTGCACCGTGTGCATAGACGGACTACTAGACAGATCTACACATGCATGAGAATATATTCATACAAAAGATATTCATGAATGCATGAATGGGTTAAATGGGAACTAGAGAGGACGCTGCTGGAGATAACATGTACTCTATGATATATATGCCCTACAGCATGTATACTGAGTTAACTGTATCTCATGTCCAACGTTACACAGTCCCCTTGCTGAGGGCACAGTCAGTGGGGCATAGGCTACAAAGTACACTTTGGGCTAGAAAGGTGAGAGAGAATGTTGCATCTGGGTTAAAGGGAGTGGGTTCTTAAAGGAAAACTCCACCCAAAAACTATGTTTTGATATTTGTTTCATTAGTCCATTGTTGACGTAGTCCCAAAATGTTTTGCTTGTCAACACTCAAGTTTTCAAGATATGTAACTTTCAAAACACAGAACTCATCCCCGTATGATGCATTTTGCAAAGCGCAGCATCATACGATGCAAAATTCATTATACAGGGATGATTTCTGTATTTTGAACTTGAGTGCTGACAAGCAAAACATTTTGGGAGTATGTCAACAATGGACTAATGGAACAAATACCAAAAGATTGTTTTTGAGTGGAGTTTTCCTTTAAAACCCAATGCAGTCTTTTTAATTTTTAAATCATCACTGCGTGTCTAATAAATCACTGTGTGTGTTTATTTCATGAAAATAACTCCAAATATATTTTGTATCATTTATTTCGGGGAGCATTGAAATGCTCAGTCTGATCATGTGGGTGTGTTGATACAAATTACAATATATTTACATACACAGCCCTGATTGGTGGATAGGATTGTCTCGACTCTAGAGCCTACCCCGCTTACCCCTTCAAAGTAGGAGGATACATATGCAAATAAAAAATGACTGGCCATTGGTCAGAATAATCAAATTGGATTGTGATGTCATGCTGTGGGCCAAAAACTCCATCCCACCTGAACAGGCTGAAATTCCAGGCGTTTTTTCTCTCAAAAAGCTTGTACATTAAAAGGGCATTATCATAATTTTCACTATTTCAGAGTGTTATTTCAACCTTATAGTGTGGAAATCATTTAAAAAACAGAAAAATCATTTTTTGACTGCACAGCCCATTTAATAGTTATTGAAAGGAACATGACAGGGTATAGGAGTGCATCAGGAATAAGACAGTTAAGATGGTTACAACCAATCATAAGCGTGCATTCTATGATCATGCACAGTATGCATATAACACTCGCTGATGTATATTGTCATACACAACAAGGGATACAACAATATGCAGGGGAAAGCAATATATGATAGATATGAAGCAATATACAGCATATGTGACAACTATATAAGTGACAGAGGTGGTTTGGGTCAAAATACTAAAGGTTGTTCAATAGATGGTATAGATATATTATTTAGAGTGTCTTTGTTGAACAAACGACACATATACACTGAGTGTACAAACATTAAGAACACCTGCTCTTTCCATGACATAGACTGACCAGGTGAAAGCTATGATCCCTTATTGATGTCACTTCAGTCAGTGTAGATGAAGGGGAGGAGACAGGGGAAAGAAGGATTTTTAAGCCTTGAGACAATTGAGACATGGATTGTGTATGTGTGCCATTCAGAGGGTGAATGGGCAAGACAAAATATTTAAGTTCCTTTGAATGGGGTATGGTAGTAGGTGTCAGGTGCACCGGTTTGTGTCAAGAACTGCAACGCTGCTGGGTTTTTCACGCTCAACAGTTTCCAGTGTGTAGCAAGAATGGTCCACCACCCAAAGGACATCCAGCCAACTTGGCACAACTGTGGAAAGCATTGGAGTCAACATGTGCCAGCATCCCTGTGGAACACTTTCGACCCCTTGTAGATTCCCATGCCCAGACGAATTGAGGCTGTTCTGAGGGCAAAAGGGGGTGCAACTCAATATTAGGAAGGTGTTCTTAATGTTTTGTACACTCAGTGTACATACACAAGACAAGAGTGACAATGACAAACAGCTACAGTGAAAGTACAATAATCCCCAACATGCACAACAGCTGAATATGAAACAAACCCCACAGGACTGTATACTGATGACCGAGTAAAGAACAATCACAATAACCACAATAACTGTACAAGCCACAACACAATTAGTAAACATAATATAAAGTAACCACACACAGAATCCCCTACCCCCCTTACCCTCCACCCTCATCACCCCCACACCCCCTACTCCTCTACCCCACCCTACACTCCACCCCACCCTCCCTACCTCCTCCCCACACGCTCCCCTCCTGCCCCCTCCGCACCCTAGACCCTCCTCTCACCTCCCCCCACCCCACCCACTCTCTCTCCCCACACCAGACCCTCCCTCCCCTAACCTCCCCACCCCACCCACCCCATCCCTCCACCCTCCCCTCCCCATCACACAGCCATCACTTACACCACTTACTTCCTGTGGGGATGAGGTCTCTGTCTGGGATGAAGAGTTTGTATCCGTAGTGTTTCTCCAAGACGTCAGGGAGGATCTCCAGGGCAAAGCGCTCCTCCTCCTTAGTCTCCTGACTCCACTGGTCTGGGTCTACTTTAGTGTAGGACAGGTACGCATCATAGTCCTTATTATCTGTCAGAAACACAGACAGCACACAGAGAAGGTCTGGTGAAGAATATGCACACTCTGGGATATGAATGCAGGCATGAACAGACACCAAAAAATTGACATACCGGTAATTGACAATCTTTATTATGTGAAAGTGAGAGAAAGAGATAATTGTATTGCCAGACACAATGACAGAGCTGAGAGCTGCAGTAGAAAGCCAGACTGATGGATCAACAAGACTAGAGGAAGCAATTGGCCAACAACAAATACAATCCTTTTTAGACACATTTCTTGACAAAACGATTCACAGCAAAAGTGAAGGTGTAAACTTGGCAGTAGAAAGAGAAAAACAGTATATTTGACCTTTCAGTGTCCCTATCAGAACTAAAAATGTCAAGAAGACAACCGAACAACATTAACATTTATGCACAGCAGAATTAGGACTATACCCGCTAGTTATCAAAATCCAGAAAAGAGCTGTTCAATTCTACAAGCACCTAAAAGGAAGTGATGCCCACACATTCCACCACAAAGCCCTCACCTGGAAAGAGATTAAGTCTTACTCAACGTCATCAAGACAAAGGAGATGATTGTGGACTACAGGAAAAAGAAGAGGACCAAGCATGCCCCCATTCTCATCAACGAGGCTGTAGTGGAGCAGGTTGAGAGCTTCAAGTTCCTTGGTGTCCACATCACCAACAAACTAACATGGTCCAAACACACCAAGACAGTCATGAAGAGGGCACGACAAAACCTATTCCCCCTAAGGAGACTGAAAAGATTTGGCATGGGTCCTCAGATCCTCAAACGGTTCTATAGCTGCACCATCGAGAGCATCCTGACTGGTTGCATCACTGCCTGGTATGGCAACTGCTCGGCCTCCGACCGCAAGGCACTACAGAGGGTAGTGCGTACGGCCCAGTACATCACTGGGGCCAAGCTTCCTGCCATCCAGGACCTCTATACCAGGCGGTGTCAGAGGAAGGCCCTCAAAATTGTCAAAGACTCCAGCCACCCTAGTCATAGACTATTCTCTCTGCTACTGCACGGCAAGCGGTACCGGAGCGCCAAGAGGCTTCTAAACAGCTTCTACCCCCAAGCCATAAGACTCCTGAACATCTAATCAAATGGCTACCCAGACTATTTGCATAGCCCCCCCTTCCCTCTTTTACGCTGCTGCTACTCTCTGTTTATTATCTATGCATAGTCACTTTAATAACTCTACCTACATTAATAACTCTACCTACATATTACTTAAATTACCTGGACTAACCGATGCCCCCACACATTGACTCGGTACCGGTACCCCCTGTATATAGCCTCGCTATTGTTATTTTTACTGCTGCTTTTTAATTATTTGTTACCTTTATTTCGTATTATTTTATATTGTATTTTTTTGTGTGATTTTTTGTGTGATTTTTTCTTAAAACTGCGTTGTTGGTTAAGGGCTTGTAAGTAAGCATTTCACTGTAAGGTCTACACCTGTTGTATTCGGCGCATGTGACACATACAATTTGATTTGATTTGATTGCAATGTTTACTGTTAAATTCTAATCATTTTTTGTTGATGTTGTTTTGTGTCTTCTCACTTTTGTTTATTTCACTTGCTTTGGCAATGTAAACACGTGTCTCATGCCAATAAAGCCCCTTTGAATTAAATTGAATTGAGAGAGAAAGAGAGCTTCCAACAAAATTTGGATAAATTCCCATATCTATTGTGTGAAATACCACAGTGTGCAATCACAACAGCAAGATTTGTGACCTGTTGCCACAAGAAAAGGGCAACCAGTGAAGAACAAACACCTATATTTATGTTTATTTATTTTCCTTTTTGTACTTTAACTATTTGCACATCATTATAACACTGTATATATACATAATATTACATTTGAAATGTGTCACGATCGTTTACTGATGAGACGGACCAAGGCGCAGCGTGATAAGCGTACATTTTATTACGTACTTAACACGACACAAAACAACAAACAAACGATACGTGAAGTCCTAGGTTACACAAACCAAACCTTTACAGAACAAGATCCCACACCGACTATTGCCAAACAGGCTGCCTAAGTATGGTCCCCAATCAGAGACAACGAGATACAGCTGCCTCTGATTGGGAACCACCCTGGCCAACATAGATCTAAACGATCTAGCACATCAACATAGAAAATAAGACATAGAACCTCCACACCCTGGCTCAACATTTAAGAGTCCCCAGAGCCAGGGCGTGACAAAATGTCTTTATTCTTTTGGAACTTTTGTTAGTGTAATGTTTACTGTTAATTTTTTATTGTTTATTTCACTTTTGTTTATTATCTATTTCACTTGCTTTGGCAATGTAAACATATGTTTCCCATACCAATAAAGCCCCTTGTCACATCCGGGCTCTGGGACTCTATATGTTGAGCCAGGGTGTGGTCATTCTATGTGTCGTATTTCTATGTCGGGAGTTCTAGTTGTGTTGTTTCTATGTTGGCCAGAGTGACTCCCAATCAGAGGCAACGAGTGTCAGCTGTGGCTGGTTGTCTCTGATTGGGAGCCATATTTAAACTGTCTGTTTGCCCTTTGTGTTTGGTGGGATCTTGTTCGAGTTGGTTTGTGTTTGACCGTTGACTGTCACGTTATCGTTTTCTTGTTTGGTTCGTGCTTTCACTTAATAAAGAAGTATGTTCGCAACTAACGCTGCGCATTGGTCTACTCCATACGACGATCGTGACAGAAGATCCCACCAAGACTGGACCAAGCAGCGTGTCCAGGAGCCATCGCCGGGCTTGTCTCTAGTGGATCGCCTTTGCTACCTCGACTGGGCCAAGCCTAGTGAAGAGCAGAGAGGTTGGACTTTGGAGCAGTGGGGTGAGAGTCTGGCGAAAAGTATGGAGACCTGGTCCACGGGTAGGAGGCAACCCCAAAAATTTTTTAGGGGGGGGCACACGGCATGGGCGACTGGGCAGCAGGAGGCTGCCACAGGGCATTTTGGGAGGTTAGCAGAGGAGGCCGCCAGGTTACGGGGGCCACTGGTCAAAGAAGGGAAGGAAGGTGTAGAGGCACGGCGAGAGGTACTGGGGTGTGTTACCAGTCCGGTCCGGCCCGTTCCAGATCCCGGTGTAGGGCCAGTGGTGTGTGTCCCCAGTACGGTCCGGTCTGTTCCTGCTCCCCGCACCAAGCCTACGGTGCGCGTCGCCAGCCCGGCCCGGCCTGTTCCTGCCACTCGCACCAAGCCTACGGTGCGCGTCGCCAGCCCGGCCCGGCCTGTTCCTGCTCCTCGCACCAAACCTACGGTGCGCGTCGCCAGCCCGGCCCGGCCTGTTCCTGCTCCTCGCACCAAACCTACGGTGCGCGTCGCCAGCCCGGCCCGGCCTGTTCCTGCCACTCGCACCAAGTCTACGGTGCGCGTCGCCAGCCCGGCCCGGCCTGTTCCTGCTCCTCGCACCAAACCTACGGTGTGCGTCGCCAGCCCGGCCCGGCCTGTTCCTGCTCCTCGCACCAAACCTACGGTGCGCATCGCCAGCCCGGCCCGGCCTGTTCCTGCCACTCGCACCAAGTCTACGGTGCGCGTCGCCTGCCCGGCCCGGCCTGTTCCTGCCACTCGCACCAAGCCTACGGTGCGCGTCGCCAGCCCGGCCCGGCCTGTTCCTGCTCTTCGCACCAAACCTACGGTGTGCGTCGCCAGCCCGGTCCGGCCTGTTCCTGCCACTCGCACCAAAGCTACGGTGCGAGTCGTCAGCCTGGTCCAGCCCATTCCTGCCACTCGCACCAAGCCAGGGGTGCGAGTCGTCAGCCCGGTAAAGCCCGTTCCGGCTCCACGCACCAAGCCAGGGGTGCGAGTCGTCAGCCTGGTCCAGCCCGTTCCTGCTACTCGCACTAAGCCAGGGGTGCGAGTCGTACGCCTGGTAAGGCCCGTTGCTGCTCCACGCACCAAGCCAGGGGTGCGAGTCATCAGTCTGGTAAGGTCCGTTCCTGCTCTACGCACCAAGCCAGGGGTGCGTATCGTCAGCCCGGTCCGGTCCATTCCTGCTCCACGCACCAAGCCAGGGGTGCGCGTCGTCAGTCCGGCACAACCCGTGCCTGGGTCACCGGTGCCTGATCAGGTACCGGTCAGCTGCTCCACAACGGAGCTGAAGCTACCCGCTCCTACGATGTCCAGTTCAGCTCCAGCCAGCGGTGCCAGACCGGACCAGGGGCGCTATGGGGGGATTATTGGAGGGTGGTGGGCAAGCCCGGAGCCAGAACCGCCGCCGAGGAGGAATGCCCACCCAGCCCTCCCCTGTTTGGTTCTAGTTGAGGCGCGGTCGCAGTCCGCGCCTTTAGGGGGGGGGTACTGTCACATCCGGGCTCTGGGACTCTATATGTTGAGCCAGGGTGTGGTCATTCTATGTGTCGTATTTCTATGTCGGGAGTTCTAGTTGTGTTGTTTCTATGTTGGCCAGAGTGACTCCCAATCAGCTGTGGCTGATTGGGAGCCATATTTAAACTGTCTGTTTGCCCTTTGTGTTTGGTGGGATCTTGTTCGAGTTGGTTTGTGTTTGACCGTTGACTGTCACGTTATCGTTTTCTTGTTTGGTTCGTGCTTTCACTTAATAAAGAAGTATGTTCGCAACTAACGCTGCGCATTGGTCTACTCCATACGACGATCGTGACACCCCTAAAATGAAATTGAATTGAAATTAAGAGAAGAGAGAGGAGAGAGGAGAGAGAGAGAAGAGAGAAGAGGAGAGACAGCGAAGAGAGAAGAGGAGAGACAGCGAGCGAGAGTGAGGAGAGAGAGAGAAGGACCCAGCCTGTGTGACTCATAGGTGCAGGGCTCAAACAGATGATACTCAAAAAACATGTTGTGCTCCCCAACCCGTCCCCCCCAAAATAAAGGAAAAAAACAAAAAACACAATTATTAAAGTAATCCTGGCAGGCATCACCACAGAAGCCTGAGTCCAAGTCATTACAGTGGGTTTGCATGTGTGTGTGTGTGTGTGTGTGCATGGGTCATCCAGGGAGGAAAGTACACTCTTTGAGGTAGGAGAGAGGGGTTTTCAGGCTCGCTAGAGGGGCCAGACACAGCCTGCATCAACTAACAACAGCTTAAACATCTCAACCAACCACTGCTAATCATAACCAGTTAGATTACATGGGTTGAATGGTTGGATTTAACCCTATGGAAGGGCTGTTCCTTCCATTCAAATCTATTCTAACTGACGACATCACAAGTGGCCACGACTCTACTTCAATGTAGAATTCTAGAATAGAAGGCAGAAAATAACCAATCAAAGTGTGAATATAACAAACACTCTAAGGAAACACACCAACAGGCCCAAACTAGGACAGAACTAACTGTATCTCGGATGGGAAACAAAAAGTTAGTCTCCCACTTCAGTTTGTTGGTGGACTTTATCCTATGATTTGGGCAGGGAGGGAGTTGGCCCAGTCCCAGCCTCCTCGTCCCAAAGCAGACAGCAGTTATCTGCTGGTCCACAGGGGAGGTTGGGCATCATACCATGACATATTGAGACTGATCCCTCTCTTAATGGAGAACAAATTGAAAATCTGTGTCCCCTCTTCTCCATGCATCCCTAGTGACCTACAAAAACACACACACACACACACACACAAACACACACACACACACACCTCACTCACTGGGTTATTACTGGAGACAATGGGCTGGCTATCAGTGAGGAGTTTGTGTGTGTGTGTTTATGTGTGTGCCTGGGAGCCTGTTATTGCTGCAGGCTCTGACTGCTGGGTCTCAACCCCCAGCATAAGACCGGTAATGGCTTTCAAAGAAACGACCCATTAAACAACCTTCAAAGCATGCGTGCACACACACACGTTGATAAAGTATATTATGATATCAAGAGAGAGGGGAGGGAGATTTAAAGGGGATATGGAGACATGCAGAGATTGAGAGAGAGAGAGAGAAAGATAGTGAGAGCGAGAGCGAAAGAGAGATAGAGAGAGACAGAGATAGAGATGAGACAGAGATAGATCAGACAGAGAGAGATAGAGAGAGAGAGATAGAGAGAGAGAGAGAGAGAGAGAGAGAGAGAGAGAGAGAAACAAATAGACACAACAGCCACCTATTGGTCTGAGGCTCTGTGCCCTTACCTCCATCCAGGTCCTCGCTGCCGAAGTGTCTCCTGTAGAAGAGCAGGAGCTCAATCTGATAACACTTATACACAGAGATGAGGCAGAGCAGCAGCAGCAGGATGGCTCCCAAACCACCAGCCAACTCTACTGTGTACATCAGCTCTACTGAGAGAGAGAGAGAGAGAGAGAGAGAGAGAGAGAGAGAGAGAGAGAGAAAGGGAGAAAGAAAGCAAAGGGGGGAGAGAAAGAGAGAGCGAAAGAAAGACAATGTCATTAAAACTATTGAGTCAGTCAATCATGTTTCCCAACACCATAATCATTTTATGTACGTATGTGTGTGTGCATGGTAGTATAGGGCTGTTTGCATGTGCTGCAATAAGAAGACATCAGACTGCAGAGAGTAATAGTCATCCCCAGTCTCTATGCTCTGCTGTGCTGTACTACCCTGTTCTACCCTGCTCTGCTCTGCTCTGCTCTGCTCTGCTCTACCCTGCTCTGCTCTACCCTGCTCTGCTCTGCTCTGTTCTACCCTGCTCTGTTCCACCCTGCTCTGCTCTGTTCTACCCTGCTCTGTTCTACCCTGCTCTGTTCTACCCTGCTCTGCTCTACCCTGCTCTGCTCTGTTCTTCTCTGTTCTGCTCTGCTCTGCTCTACCCTGCTCTGTTAGACCCTGCTCTGCTCTGTTCTGCTCTGCTCTGAGCCGTGCAGCACATCCACAGGGAAGAGACAGGGGGCTTATGATGACTTGAGGAAAAGAGAGGGAGAGGGAGGATTATCTAAAATTGGGTTCATTGTCTAGGTGAGGCATGACACAAACAGTGGGATTTCTCAAGGGGATGAACATGGATGGAGAGAATGTGAAGTTAAAGAAACCAAACGTGATTTTCTCCCCTATTCTCTCCTCTGCTTCCCAAGTCCCCTCTCGATCTCAACTCTTTCTTTCACCATGCTTCTCCTAACTCATTCTTCTACATTTCCTCTTCTCTTTTCTCCCTCTCTCAGTTTTTTTCCACCCTATTCTTTGTGTCTCAATAGATTAGTAACCTACATATTTATACCAACTTCTCTCCATTTTCTTGACACCCCCTGTCCTCATCCCTCTCTCTTTCCCTCTCTCCTCCCTCCTTCCTTCAGCATCAATCATCAATACTGCATCCTGGGAGGAGAAACATAAAACAAAGAATAAACAAACACTCAGCTGTTTAGAAAGGAAGAGGAGCTATTGGCTGCTTAAATAACCATCACATTTGCTCTATTGGCTAAAGTGACAACCACCGCATAAAGAGAGCCTAGCACAAGTCATGCCAGAGAACTAAGAATATTGGATGAATGTAAGAAAAACAAAAACAAAAGAGAAAATAGAATGAAATGGAGTGTAAACACACATCGATATGGTGACAAACACAAAGGAGCTCTGAACCTAACACAGACCGGTGGGTGAGAAGACTGAAGGAGATGGAGGGAGCGGAGGAATATTGGAAGGGGGTATGGATGGAGAGGGGGAGAAAGAGATGGAGGGAGAGGAGGAATACTGGAAGGGGGTATGGATGGAGAGATGCAGAAAGAGAGAGAGAGGGACCAGAGAGATGTCTATGCTGCCTGGGTTATAAAATATTCAGATAAATTACTAAGAGGTATGGGTGTGAGCGAAAGAGAGAGCCCTTACCCCTCCTGGAGAGTGTTCTGTGAGGTATGGGTGTGAGAGAGATCTCTTACCCTTTCTGGAGAGTGTATTGTGGGCTATGGGTGTGTGAAAGAACCCTTACCCCTTCTGGAGAGTGTATTGTGGGTTATGGGTGTGTGAAAGAACCCTTACCCCTTCTGGAGAGTGTATTGTGGGTTATGGGTGTGTGAAAGAACCCTTACCCCTTCTGGAGAGTGTATTGTGGGTTATGGGTGTGTGAAAGAACCCTTACCCCTTCTGGAGAGTGTATTGTGGGTTATGGGTGTGTGAAGGAACCCTTACCCCTTCTGGAGAGTGTATTGTGGGTTATGGGTGTGTGAAAGAACCCTTACCCCTTCTGGAGAGTGTATTGTGGGTTATGGGTGTGTGAAAGAACCCTTACCCCTTCTGGAGAGTGTATTGTGGGTTATGGGTGTGTGAAAGAACCCTTACCCCTTCTGGAGAGTGTATTGTGGGTTATGGGTGTGTGAAAGAACCCTTACCCCTTCTGGAGAGTGTATTGTGGGTTATGGGTGTGTGAAGGAACCCTTACCCCTTCTGGAGAGTTGGATGGTGGCCTGCCGTCTCCCATTGCCATTCTCCACATAGCAGGAGTAGTTTCCCAGGTCCCCCTCTTCCACCGAGTGGATCGTCAAGGAGATGGCCACTTCCTGTTCCCCCAGGTGCTCCCGGACCACCCTGCAAGACAAGAGAAAACATTAATTAACGGAGGGGATGGCAGTCTCTGTGGGAGTAGTCACATGTCCCCCTCCGTAGAGGGGTGCAATGTGACAGAGTTGATAAATACTGTGTTGAAAGCCAGACAAAGTCATTCATGTTTCCTACTAACTATGATGTCCATGTCTCCTCACTTCATAACAGTCTCAAGGTTAGAGAGACCGGCCAGTAACTGGAGAGTTGCCTTTTCGAATCCCAGGGCTGACAGGGAAAAACATTGGTGGGGTGATTGACTTGGTTTGCTGTGTGTTGAGGAGATGAGGACTGCAGGGCCTACAGAAAATATTGAGTTTGCAATGTGCTGGGTGAGAAAACATAATGAATGTGTTACTGTACAGGAGTATATTTACTGTGAAGCACTAATAAGTACAGGAACGCTATGTTATTCACCATAAGGTACAAATAAATCTATGATCTGTAAATATGTTCAACATAGCTCACAAATAAAACTACAATTTGAACAAATGTAGAATGATTTGTGAGGAAATGTTCAGAAATCCCTAACATTTACAACTGTGGAATGTGCATTTGAGCATTAAAAAAGTGCTTGTGGATCTGTATTCTGTGCTTACAGAATTTGTTGAATTCTTTTCTGCCTGTTGATGTATTACAATCCACAAATGTGACTTTAGATGAGAGTCGGCTATCTCTATTTATTGGGATAATCTTTGTGTCATGTGACATGCAGAGTGATGACATCACGGCTGTGTACTTGGGAGAAAGCTTTCTAGCTAGAAGAAGAACGAACAACTTAATGAAATGTGAGTATAACATTTATTTATTCAACAAATGTTAAGAAGTTCAACAAATGACTTTCATATGAATGTTAAATTCGACCATTGCAACCCCGAGTGTGTGCTTTCGACATCAGCCCACTAGCCATGCTAGCTAACTAGCTAGCGTTGGAATCTACCGATAGCTAGCAGGCGATCTCGTCAGCTGTTTAGACTAACAACCAAAGTTAAACTTACTAGGTAATTGTTAATTCAGAAATGTGTCAATTATGAAGCTGCTCAGTTTTTTAATCCTGAATTGGTGATCTGCCTAGCAAGCTAATGAGAAATCTGTTTTCTTTCAGGGACTAAACAGGGCAATTGATGCTTTGGCAGGACAAATCACTCTTTCCCAACTGGTGTGGCAGTAAAAAATATGAACATTATCTGATTAAAAACATTAGAAATTAAGCTGACAAGATCGCCTGCTAGCTATCGGTAGTGTCTAACGTTAGCTAGTTAGCTAGCTTGGCAAGTGGGCTGATGTCGAAAGCACACACTCGGGGTTGCATGCCCCAATGGTCGAATTTAGTATTCATATGAAAGTAATTTAATGAAAATGTTAACATAATTTGTTAAATAAACATTATGCTCACATTTCAGTGGCGCAGTGGTCTAAGGCACTGCATCGCAGTGCTAGCTGTGCCACTAGAGATCCTGGTTCGAATCCAGGCTCTGTCGTAGACTGGGAGACCCATGGGGCGGCGCACAATTGATCCAGGGTAGGGGAGGGAATGGCCGGCAGGGATGTAGCTCAGTTGGTAGAGCATGGCGTTTGCAACGCCAGGGTTGTGGGTTCGATTCCCACGGGGGGCCAGTATGAAAAAAAATAATAATAATGTATGCACTCATTTTAGTCATTTAGCAGACACTCTTATCCAGAGCGACTTACAGTTAGTGAGTGCATACATTTTCATACTGTTTTGTTCATCTCCATTGATTCCTTATTAAACTCACCTGCTTCCTACCTCCCGGCGTATACGTTACACTTCTTCTAGCTAGAAAGCTTTCTCCCAAGAAGGACACAGCCGTGATGTCATCACTCTGCGTGTCACGTAACACAAAGATTGTTCATCTGAAGCCACATTTGTGGATTGTAATACATCAACAGGCGAATAACACTTCTAAAAATTCTGTAAGCACATCAACAAGCACTTTTTGAATGCACAAATGCATATTCCACAGTTGTAAATGTTAGGGATTTCTGAACATTTGCTCATAAATCATTCTACATTTGTTAAAATTGCAGTTTTATTTGTGAGCTACAGTGGGGGAAAAGAGTATTTAGTCAGCCACCAATTGTGCAAGTTCTCCCACTTAAAAAGATGAGAGAGGCCTGTAATTTTCATCATAGGTACACGTCAACTATGACAGACAAATTGAGAATTTTTTTCTCCAGAAAATCACATTGTAGGATTTTTTATGAATTTATTTGCAAATTATGGTGGAAAATAATTATTTGGTCACCTACAAACAAGCAAGATTTCTGGCTCTCACAGACCTGTGTCACGATCGTCGAACACAGTGGACCAATGCGCAGCGTGATTAGTGAACATACTTTTATTTAAATTCACCACACGAACAAAACAACAAAACGATACGTGACGTCCTTGGTAACAGACACTAACCATACACGGAACAAGATCCCACAAAACACTGTGGCAAACAGGCTGCCTAAGTATGGTTCCCAATCAGAGACAACAAGCAACAGCTGATACTCGTTGCCTCTGATTGAGAACCACCCCGGCCAACACAGAAACACAAGAGCTAGATAATAAACCTAGAACACAAAACACATAGAAACAACACACCCTGGCTCAACATAACAGAGTCCCAGAGCCAGGGCGTGACAGAACCCCCCCCCCCCCCAAAGGTGCGACCGCGCCAAACACAAACCGAACAGGGAAGGGCCGGGTGGGCATTCCTCCTCGGAGGCGGTTCCGGCTCCGGGCTTGACCACCACCCTCCGTAGCGCCCCTGGTCCGGTCTGGCCCCGCTGGCTGGAGCTGGACTGGACATCGGTGGAGCGGAATGCTTAGGCTCTGATGTGGAGCAGCTGACCGGTACCTGACCAGGCACCGGTGACCCAGGCACGGGCTGTGCCGGACTGACGACGCGCACCACAGGCTTGGTGCGGGGATCAGGAACGAGCCGGACCGGACTGATGACGCGCACCACAGGCTTGGTGCGGGGAGCAGGAACGAGCCGGACCGGGCAGACGACGCGCACCACAGGCTTGGTGCGGGGAGCAGGGACGGGCCGAACCGGGCTGACAAAGCGCACCACAGGCTTGATGCAGGGAGCAGGAACGGGCCGGACCAGGCTGACGACGCGCACCCCTGGCTTGGTGCGGGGAGCAGGAATGGGCCGGACCGGGCTGACGATGCGCACCACAGGCTTGGTGCGGGGAGCAGGAACAAGCCGGGTCGGGCTGGCGACGCGCACCATTGGCTTGGTGCGGGGAGCAGGAACAGGCCGGGCCGGGATGGCGCCGCGCACCATTGGCTTGGTGCGGGGAGCAGGAACAGGCCGGGCCGGGCTGGCGACGCGCACCATAGGCTTGGTGCGAGGGACAGGAACAGGCCGGACCGCACTGGGAACACACACCACTGGCCTTACCCGGGGATCAGGAACGGGCCGGACCGGACTGGCAACACACCTCAGTACCTCTCGCCGTGCCTCTACATTTTCCTTCCCTCTACTCGCCAATGGCTCCCGTAACCCGGTGGCCTTCTCTCCTCGTCCACTAACTCGCCCCTTATCTGCCTCCAGCAGCCCCGTCGTCCACGGTGTGAGCCCCCCCCCTAAATTTGTTTTGGGTTTGTCTCTCCCCCATGGCTCTCGCCAGACTCTCCATCCTCTGCTCCCAAGTCCAACCTCTCTCCTCCTCACGCGGCTTGACCCAGTCGAGGTGGATATCCGCTAGAGTTACCTCTGGCGTTGGCTCCTGGACACGCTGCTTGACCCAGTCGAGGTGGATATCCACTAGAGTTACCTCTGGCGTTGGCTCCTGAACACGCTGCTTGACCCAGTCGAGGTGGATATCCGCTAGAGTTACCTCTGGCGTTGGCTCCTGGACATGCTGCTTGGTCCAGTTTTGGTGGGATCTTCTGTCACGATCGTCGAACACAGTGGACCAATGCGCAACGTGATTAGTGAACATACTTTTATTTAAATTCACCACACGAACAAAACAACAAAACGATACGTGACGTCCTTGGTAACAGACACTAACCATACACGGAACAAGATCCCACAAAACACTGTGGCAAACAGGCTGCCTAAGTATGGTTCCCAATCAGAGACAACAAGCAACAGCTGATACTCGTTGCCTCTGATTGAGAACCACCCCGGCCAACACAGAAACACAAGAGCTAGATAATAAACCTAGAACACAAAACACATAGAAACAACACACCCTGGCTCAACATAACAGAGTCCCAGAGCCAGCGAGTGACAACCTGTAACTTCTTCTTTAAGAGGCTCCTCTGTCCTCCACTCGTTACCTGTATTAATGGCACCTGTTTGAACTTGTTATCAGTATAAAAGACACCTGTCCACAACCTCAAACAGTCACACTCCAAACTCCACTATGGCCAAGACCAAAGAGCTGTCAAAGGACACCAGAAACAAAATTGTAGACCTGCACCAGGCTGGGAAGACTGAATCTGCAATAGGTAAGCAGCTTGGTTTGAAGAAATCAACTGTGGGAGCAATTATTAGGAAATGGAAGACATACAAGACCACTGATAATCTCCCTCGATCTGGGGCTCCACGCAAGATCTCACCCCGTGGGGTCAAAATGATCACAAGAACGGTGAGCAAAAATCCCAGAACCACACGGGGGGACCTAGTGAATGACCTGCAGAGAGCTGGGACCAAAGTAACAAAGCCTACCATCAGTAACACACTACACCGCCAGGGACTCAAATCCTGCAGTGCCAGACGTGTCCCCCTGCTAAAGCCAGTACATGTCCAGGCCCGTCTGAAGTTTGCTAGAGTGCATTTGGATGATCCAGAAGAGGATTGGGAGAATGTCATATGGTCAGATGAAACCAAAATATAACTTTTTGGTAAAAACTCAACTCGTCGTGTTTGGAGGACAAAGAATGCTGAGTTGCATCCAAAGAACACCATACCTACTGTGAAGCATGGGGGTGGAAACATCATGCTTTGGGGCTGTTTTTTCTGCAAAGGGACCAGGTCGACTGATCCGTATAAAGGAAAGAATGAATGGGGCCATGTATCGTGAGATTTTGAGTGAAAACCTCCTTCCATCAGCAAGGGCATTGAAGATGAAACGTGGCTGGGTCTTTCAGCATGACAATGATCCCAAACACACCGCCCGGGCAACGAAGGAGTGGCTTCGTAAGAAGCATTTCAAGGTCCTGGAGTGGCCTAGCCAGTCTCCAGATCTCAACCCCATAGAAAATCTTTGGAGGGAGTTGAAAGTCTGTGTTGCCCAGCGACAGCCCCAAAACATCACTGCTCTAGAGGAGATCTGCATGGAGGAATGGGCCAAAATCCCAGCAACAGTGTGTGAAAACCTTGTGAAGACTTACAGAAAACGTTTCACCTGTGTCATTGCCAACAAAGGGTCTATAACAAAGTATTGAGAAACTTTTGTTATTGACCAAATACTTAACTTCCACCATAATTTGCAAATAAATTCATTAAAAATCCTACAATGTGATTTTCTGGATTATTTTTTCTCATTTTGTCTGTCATAGTTGACGTGTACCTATGATGAAAATTACAGGCCTCTCTCATCTTTTTAAGTGGGAGAACTTGCACAATTGGTGGCTGACTAAATACTTTTTTTCCCCACTGTATGTTGAATATATTTACAGATCATAGATTTATTTGTGACTTATGGTTTAATTCGTGAAATATTTTAACATATTTACAGATTATGGTTTTATTTACGAAATATTGTGATATATTCACAGTTCATATGTTGAATATACGCACGGATCGTTAGTTATGTTGAATATACGCACGGATCGTGGTAGACACATTTACAGAATCAAGAAACAAATCTCACTCCCTATGTTTCTTCCTGGGAGGGAAGAAACAAATTATGACATCGGGAAGATAATGTTTTTATAGTGGCTGCCATGGAAACAGAGTGGAAGGAGAGAAAGTAATATTCCATAAAGTAAATGAGTGTCCCCCACTGAGTTGTTAGAGGCTGACGGAGGAGAGAAGGGAGAGATAATGCTCCCTCGTTCTTCACACGCAACTACTTAGCCTACTTTTAAAGCACCCTCAGCACATAGAAGCACGCACGAGGGAGAGCGAGTGTGTGAGAGTGTGTGAGAGTGTGTGAGAGTGTGTGTGTGTGTGTGTGTAACTGTGTCTGTATGTGCATTAATGTGTAGCCTATGCACTACATGTGAGCACTGGGGAGAAAGAGAGAGAGAGGGAGAGAGAGACAGCGGAGAAGAGAGAGAGAGAAGAGAGAGAGAGAGAGAGTAGAGAGAGAGAGAGAGAGAGAGAAGAGAGAGAGAGAGACTAGAAGAGAGAAGAGAGTAGTAGAGAGGAGAGAAGGACGATAGAGAGTGAGATAAGACATACTCTCAACGTCGATCCGCATGCGATCGCAGAGCTCAGCTCTCGCGCTGTCGCGGTTATTCGACCCGCGCTCGAGCTTCGCCGCTTCCGGGAGAACGGGAGACGGGAGAGGACAGGCGGAGAGAGAGAGAGGGATGACTGTTCTGTGATGTACTCACCCCAGGCTCTTTGTGTGCACACAGCAGCACATACAGTAAATATAGTTTGTTAGAGAGCTTTGTAGTCGGTATTTGAGAATGCATCGTGGGCTTTGTAGGACGTGATTGAGACTGCATAATGGGATTTGTAGTTAAAACGAATGCCCTCTGAGAGGAAAGGGTGTGTGTGTTGGGGCGGGGGCGGGGGGGGGGGTTGATTGACAGTTCTCTGGGGAGAGACAGGATCCGTTTCCATAATAAAAACAGATCGCCACACCACTCAGCGGTCGCTAGGCACAGGTCTCCCACGACGACACTTTGAACCCATCCCGTGTTCAAGAAGTAATGCTGATCTTTGGTCAGTTTACGATGAATATACTAAATACATACTTATATCTAGTGAGCTAGAATTTTAAGTCTATGTTTAATTAACATTTCTGCTACTTCATTTAAGATAATTCTTATATCACCTGACCCCTCTCTCTGGTAGCCTGATTCTGGATCTAGCTGTCTTGTGTGTGACAATGACCATGGGAGCTGGCAAGACAGCACAAACAGACCTGGATCCAGGCTAGCTCTCTGGAGCACAAACAGACCTGGGACCAGGCTAGTTCTCTGGAGTAAAATCTCTTCCTGAACAAAATGCACTGTTCTTCCATCAGCTCCTCACTTCCTCATTAGTAAAGCCAGTGAATGCTGTGTCTGCTCATTTAACTGATCAATTACAAACTTATTCATTTCCTTTACTTCACCCAACGCCCACCTGCGAAGCCGGTGTGAACCAAACTAAACCAGCTCAATACACCATCAATAATTCTGAGGCAGATTGGTTTGGCTAATTTATTAATCTCACGAACATACACACAACACACACACAACACACACACACACCCACACACACACAACACCCAACACACACACACACACACACACTACACACACACACGTCCCCCGTGCTAATGCCTAACCCCATGCATGCAATGAAAACAACAATAGCCCTGTCGCCATCTGCGACGCAAATGATAATTTATGGGCCTGCGTTTTCATAGGAATGGAACTAGTCGGAATCAATAGGTTGGGTTCTTTAAATATGGGTTTACTGGGTTCCCTGGGCTGAAGTTCAGGCCAGGAGAGTGTGGGAGGGAGGCTAAACTTTGGAAACACGTCCACGTCCCTGTAGCAGTGGAATGGAAGATACTTTGGCTGCATGGCTTAAACATACAGGACATGATTACATGTTTCAATTGTACATTTATTTTGTCATGTTTTCAAGTTGCTAACCATTTGTTAGGTTACTCTCTCTCTCTCTCTCTCTCTCTCTCTCTCTCTCTCTCTCTCTCTCTCTCCTCTCTCTCTCCTCGTCTTTCTCCTCTCTCTCTCGCTCTCTCTATCTCTTTCTCCCTCCTGCTCTCTTGTTGAACTTTTTCCCAAATCCTAACCCTTTCTAACTTTTAAACCTCTCCATCTCCATCTCCTATTTTCTCTACATCTTCTCGTTCACCCTCTCCTCCTACCCCTCCCTTGGCTCTCTCTCTCTCTTTCTGTCTGATAGTAATGAGTGTGTCCGTTCCATTAAGGGTGTGTATAGTGATCAGGGGAGTAAAGCCTGGGCTGTGAGAGGATCAGAGTAGGCCTGGGGTAAAGGCAGTGTGGACAATAAAGAATACATGATCAAATACATTATTGATCCACAGCATCAAATATCTGGCTGCATTATTAAACAGATATAGCCCTTCAGCTGAAGAGAAAGATAATCCTAGAGAGAGAGAGGGATGGAGGGAGAGAGAGAGAGGGGAGAGAGAGAGAGAGAGAAAGATTGCAAACCTTAAAACTGAGCTCTGTACCTGACTCTACCCACAAAACAAAATCACAAGCCCTCCCTCCCTCCCTCCCTCCCTCCCTCCCTCCCTCCCTCCCTCCCTCCCTCCCTCCCTCCCTCATCCCCTCCCCCTCCTCCCCCCTAGTCCATCTGCATTCCTCTATGTTCAGTGGGGAGAGGTAAAAGAGGGAGGTATAGTAGGAGGGTTAGTAAGGGAGAGGGTAGAGAGGGTAGGGGGAGGGAGGGGGTGGTGAGTGAGTGTAGTGGGGGGGAGGGTTAGGAGGGGGGGGTAGGAGGGGAGGGTGAGGGGTGTGAGGGAGGGTAGAAGAGGTTGTGGGGAGAGGGTTAGAGAGGGTAGTGAGGAGGGGTTAGAGAGCGGTTTTTAGGGAGAGGGTAGTAGGGCGTGGGGGAGGGTTAGAGAAGGGTTGTGAGGGTTTGGGAAAGGGTTAAGGGGTGAGGGGTAGTGAGGGAGGGTTGGGGAGGGTCGTTGGGAGGGGAGGTTTTAGGGGTGTGAGGGAGGGGTTAGGTAGGGAGGGGTGAGTGGGGAGAGGGATGAGAGTGTAGTGAGAAGGGGGTTTGAGGGGTAGTGAGGGAGCGGTTAGAGGGGTGGGGGGTTAGAGCGGGTGAGTCTGCTCCGGTGGAGGGTCCGCGGGTTGATGTGGGCCTCTGGTGCCCCGGGTGGCGGGGGTCCGAGCGGGAGTGCGGGTGGAGAGGGTCGAGGGGTAGTGCGGGTGCGGTCTAGCGGGGCGTTAGTGAGGGCGGGTTAGTGAGGGGGGTAGTGAGGTAGTGAGGTGTAGTGTAGTGAGGGAGAGGGTGGTGAGGGTAGTGAGGGAGAGGGTTAAGAGGTAGTGAGGGGAGGGTAGTGAGTGTTGTGAGGGCCCGGGTGGTGAGGGCGTGAGGCGAGGGTCTCGTAGTGACGCCTGTGAGGGGAGAGGGTGGTGAGTGTAGTGAGGGAGAGGGTAGTGAGGGTTGTGAGGGAGAGGGTGGTGAGGGTAGTGAGGGAGAGGGTAGTGAGGGTGCGGGTAGCGATAGCGACGGCGAAGCACGGTGAGAAATGGTGGTTGTTAACTATCTGACAGGGCCGTCTCCCCAGATGCAGTCTCTCCACACACAGCGCTCCGCGCCTAATGGGAAATGCACACAGACCAGCCAATGGACTCGTTTAAATATGTTACAGTACTGGGAGGGAGAGAGACACGGAAATTGATTTGTTTTAAGTGTGTTGCTACAGCGAAGAGAGAGAGAGAGAGAGAGAGAGAGAGAGAGAGAGAGAGAGAGAGAGAGAGAGAGAGAGAGAGAGAGAGAGAGAGAGAGAGAGAGAGAGAGAGAGAGAGGGTATATAAGGTGGATTCATTTGAATTTGTTGGAGGGTAGAGGAATGGACTCATTTGAATGTGCAGCATTGAGAAAGAGACACAGATATGGGTTTGTTTTAAGTATGTTATAGCATAGAGAGAGAGGGAGAGGGATAGAGAGAGAGAAAGAGAGGCAGTGGGGGAGAGAGGAAGAGCGTAAATGGACTGTCTTAACTAGATATGTTACAATATAGAGATAGACATGGGAAATGGGCTTGTTTAAATGCATGACATCATAAAGAGAACAGGCAGAAATGTTCTTGTTTTGAATGTTTCAACGTGAGCCCAGAGAGGGAGAGAGAGATAGTGTTCAGTGGACTCAGTAGGGTTTGAGTGTGAAACAGAGATGAGAGCTTGAAGGAACACAGCCGTATGAACTGCTAGACAAAAGCAAACAGACAGACATATGTACAGACAGACGTACAGACACTAGATAGACTTTTGTGTGCTAAAGAGGCCTGATGATGAAAGCGCAGTGATAGAAGGAGTAACAGAACAGACTGTGTTTGCCTGCCTGCCTGCCTACCTACCTGCCTTCCTGCCTGCCTGGGCTTGCAAAGGGACTACTTAGCAGCTAGATATGACAGTTTAGAGAATAGCTCCAGAGGCGTGTCCAGGGCATAACATTTTAAAACTTAATCATTGCAAGGTGGATTTTCTCAATATAATTATGATGGTTCAACACATGAAATGCTTCAGCTGAGATTTGGTACATTTCCCTGTTCAAATCCATCATAAATCATTCCAAAAGTCTTGTTACAGTGGTTGCATTCAAGGTAAGGATTTTAGGGTATTAGTATACAGCAGTAAATTCACTTGAAAGTGCCACCCAAAGTGCGAATTATACTGTGACATTCAGGGGTCTCTAAAAATGTTTTATGGGCTTTATAGTAAAGACATGTAATTTAACTGTCAAAATGTATTATCTTTTAATGTGTCATGAACACAACCAGTCATGACGTTTTCATCTGATTGTCAAACAAATCACTTCAAAAAGCAGGTTAAGTAGGTTACCTGCGCACGTTCGGCTTCTCCAAAATAAATCTAGCATCCGAACAGTGCACTGTGCACCCATCATTTGAATGGAAAGGGACATCTATTACAAACACCATAAGTGTACACTGTAGGGTGTATTCATGGATGCCAAGGGAAGCCAGGCTTCCCCCAAAATTGTAATAATAAAAAAATATACATTATTTCTCATTCATGTTTATCTGTGTTTCATAATTTTCCTCAAATTCGCAAGAGGCTGAATCTATTTCACCAGAGAAAGCATCCGAGCGAGGCAAACAGCGCCCCTCTGTCTTAGTATCTGTAGTCCATGTATGTGATGCTGTCTGGCCAAAAATAATGTCTCCGGTGAGTGATAAGTCTTGCTGTCGGCGCGTCTTGGTCAAAATGATAAATATATTCAGAGACGACCTATCAGATCTCAGAATTCCTGGGGGGGGGGGGGGGGGGGGGGTCACTTGGGTGGCCAATCAGATTTCAGGGGGGCTGTGGCCACCCTGGGCCACACACTGAATAGCTCATCAAAGGCTTTGCACTTAAAGTATTACATCATAGTATGGTCTAGTACAGTATCCAATGGTGTTGTACTGTGTTTAGTTTGTATAGTCTACAGGATCCATATTTAATATTGACCACAATTCCATAGTTACAATGTATTCATCCTAATCGTATCAGAGTGACTTACAACAATATTATTACATATTAAGCCATATGGTTACTACATTAGAAGTGAGGGAGTAAAACAACCATGTGTCTCACTTGATTTCGCTCTCTTCGACTCTCTCCTCATCCAGGTCCTCGATGAACTTCTCTCCCTTCATCCAGTAGATGAGAGGACTGACCGCTGACCCGCTGTAGCCAAAGAACGCTCTGCACGTCAGGTTCAGGGCACTTTCTGTGGAGACAGGAAATGACACACCGTTATTCTTCTCATTCCTTCAACACAGACATTAGTAGTCTGCTGTACGTAGAGAAATAGTTTTGTACACTGGTTAGCAGTAGAGAGACAGCTAACTGGCACATTTGGTTGCCTTGGGGTCGTATTGGGAATGGGATGACAACATCAACACTTCAAGTCATATCTATGGCTATATATGGCTAGTGACATGCACGCATGCACGCACGCACGCGCCTCCAGGGGAAGAGTGTGCGTCAGATTACTAAAGGGTGTTCAGATGGAATGTTCTGACACTTTCCGCCCCTTCCACACACACACCTTCACCAAACCCCTGAGGTTTGTAACACAGCTAAAACTAGACACCCAAGACCTTACCTCGACATTTCACTGTGTGCAAATAGTACAAAGTCACCTAACAAACACTCACTAACATACTGGTACAGTCCCTCTTGGTGCTGCTACCTTTCACATAGGAACAAAGAGATTACATTATTTTCCTCCCCTATTTCAATCATCGCTGCAACACCCCAACAGGCTCAGGAGAGGCAAAGGTGGAGTCATGCGTCCTCCGAAACATGACCCGCATAACCGCGCTCCTTAACCCAGAAGCCAGCCGCACCAATGTGTCAGAGGAAACACCATTCAACTGGCGACCGGGGTCAGCCTGCAGGCACCCGGCCCACCACAAGGAGTTACGATGAGCCAAGTAAAGCCCCCGCAGCCAAACCCTCCCCTAACTCGGACAACACTGGGCCAATTGTGCGCCGTCCTATGGGACTCCCAGCCACGGCCGATTGTGGTACAGCCCAGGAATGAACCCGGGTCTGTAGTAACGCCTCTAGCACTGTGATGCAGTGCCTTAGACCGCTGCGCCACCCAAAGAGATTACATTCTGATGAAATCTTGAGCATTTTGTTCATCACATCTCTGTATTGTAAATCTTTACATGAACAGAAGACACACACTGGCAGTCCAATAAATACCAGTCCCACACACCACAAGGGGGCACTAAAGAGCTTCCAAACACTCAATGTCACCATCTGGGTGTAGAGAACGGGAGAGTGTCGGTATGGGGTTTGACATAACTGTTATGTGCGTAAACAGCACCTGAGATAGAAAACCTCAGGTCAGTATTCTTCTATTGTTGGTTCTAGTTCAGGTCCTGTGTGTTCAAACACATCATCATCCAATCTGCTTACTACTCCAGACAACAGGGAGAAACCACACTTCAAAGAGAAAACAAAACGTCTCCGATCTATTTCTATCATTGTCTCCAAACAATCACCATTGTCTGTGATGCTGTAGAACCCAACTCTGGACCTCGAAGCCAGTTCCACTGTGTTTTTTCATCATTCCCCTCTAATCATTTTACATTTACGTAATTTAGCAGACACTCTTATCCAGAGCCACTTACAGTAGTGAATGCATACATTTTCGTACTTTTTCGTACTGGTCCCCTGTGGCAATCGAACCCACAACCCTGGTGTTGGAAGCGCCATGCTCAACCAACTGAACCACGCGGGACCTAATCAGGGACTCATTTATACCTGGGACACCAGGTAGGTGCAATTAATTATCAGGTTGAACAGAAAAGCAGCAGGCTCCGGATCTCGTACGGTGAGAGTTGAGGTGTAGAATGTCTGTATATAGACACAGAGAAATTCCAAATCAAACAGCTGCTTCCTAAATAATAGAAAACACTAGGAGAAACCCCATGCCTATCATGTGTGCACCACTGACTACACACTGCACAGTGCATACTTAATTCATACTGCAGGGCTGAGAGCTCAGAGAAGCTTTTTTAATTAAATGCATGGAGCTCTCTCTCTCTCTCTCTCTCTCTCTCTCTCTCTCTCTCTCTCTCTCTCTCTCTCTCTCTCTCTCTCTCTCTCTCTCTCTCTCTCTCTCTCACAGCAGCATTGCCATCCTCCTGCATTATCTGAACACTATTTTACTAGTACTGTTATATTGTCTATGGTTACAGCAGCATGGTCCATCCTCCTGCATTATCTGATGGCAGTGGCAATGTCCAGAGACTAACACCAGAGAACGCTAACAGGGCCATACGCAAACTACATCACCTTCAAAACCCCCACACATTGTTGGTCAAGGTCATCGATGAAGTTGGGGAACCGATCTGTTTCTGTGTGTGTGTGTGTGTGTGTGTGTGCGTGCTCCATGCCGGTGTTTTAAACCAGAGATCAGTTTCAATCAGGTAATTTCATGCCTCCATCCGTTCTGTGCTCCTGTAGGAAGTCTCCGCTGAGCTCCGGGGGAATCGCAGGAAATTGTCAGCAGCACCCTGCTGTGTCCTCCCTAATCCAGCCGTCACACCCCCCCTCTCCCTTCCCCTGGTTCCCACCCCCCTCTCCCTTCCCCTGGTTCCCACCCCCCTCTCCCTTCCCCTGGTTCCCACCCCCCTCTCCCTTCCCCTGGTTCCCACCCCCCTCTCCCTTCCCCTGGTTCCCACCCACCCTCTGTGCGTGCGTGTGTGTGTGTGTGTGTGTAAGGTGGACACATAGAGAGAAGCAGCCTGATAACAGTCCCCAGAAACAGTGAGCCTCTCTCTCCTCAGCTCTCTCTCTTTTATCACTGCATAACAGAAAATAAGAAAACAGCACACGAATACTTTGCTATGACACTATGGGGAAAGTACATGACCCAAAGCTGTCTGTAGGACTCATCATGAGGGGCCGCAGTTGCTCGCAGGTCTGACCCACCTAACCACGCTCCTTAAACCAGAAGCCAGCCACACCAATGTGTCGGAGGAAACACCGTTCAACTGGCGACCGGGGTCAGCCTGCAGGCACCCGGCCCACCACAAGGAGTCACAATGAGCCAAGTAAAGCCCCCCCAGCCAAACCCTCCCCTAACTCGGACAACTTGTGCGCCGTCCTATGGGACTCCCAGCAACGGCCGATTGTGGTACAGCCCAGGAATGAACCCGGGTCTGTAGTAACGCCTCTAGCACTGTGATGCAGTGCCTTAGACCGCTGCGCCACTCGGGAGGCCAAAGAGATTACATTCTGATGAAATCTTGAGCATTTTGTTCATCACATCTCTGTATTGTAAATCTTTATATGAACAGGACACACACTGACGGACCAATAAATACCAGTCCCACACACCACAAGGGGGCACTGAAGAGCTTCCAAACACTCAACGCCACCATCTGGGTGTGGAGAACGGGAAAGTGTCAGTATGGGGTTTGACATAACTGTTATTTGCGTAAACAGCACCTGAGATAGAAAACCTCAGGTCAGTATTCTTCTATTGTTGGTTCTAGTTCAGTTGCTCGCGGGTCTGCGTACCCACATCCGTACCCCCCTCCCCCCTCCCTATTGCGAGCAAAACATTTTAGTGGCCCCCCTCGACAGTGGAGAGACATTTTTTTACATTTTAGATTTCCATTTTGTGCAATTCTACACATTTTGCCATGGGGTGTAGAGAAAATGTTGCTGTTTTAAAGCAAGTTTGCTGCAATTCTATACATTTTGCCATGGGGCAGAGAGACGATTTAGTTTAATTTAATTTTATAACTAATTTAATGCAATTCTACACATTTTGCCATAGGGTGTAGAGAAATGTTTGCAGTTTTTAATATGATATCTGAGTGAAACTGACTAACAAAATCACCGGCTGATTATTCGACCATGAAAACAAGTTTAGATGGTTGGCCGGTAAACTAATTTAGCAATCTAAAAAATGTTAGCTCATGTCAGCAATTTTTTGGGGGATTGCTAAATTGGCTGACTAACTATCAGTGACTGACATAACAAGTGACTGACATAGCAAAAATATTAACGCAACATGCAACAATTATTGAGTTACAGTTCATATAAGGAAGTCAGTCAACTGAAATAAATTCATTAGGGCCCTAATCTATGGATTTCACATGACTGGGAAGATATATTGATATGCATCTGTTGGTTACAGATACCTTAAAAACATCAGAAAACCAGTCAGTATCTGGTGTGACCACCATTTGTCTCATGCAGCGTGACACATCTCCTTCACATAGAGTTGATTGGGATGTTGATTGTGGCCTGTGGAATGTTGTCCCACTCATCTTCAATGGCTGTGCGAAGTTACTGGATATTGGTTGAAACTGGAACACGCTGTCGTACACGTCGATCCAGAGCATCCCAAACATGCTCAATGGGTGAATGTCTGGTGAGTATGCAGGCCATGGAAGAACTTGGCCATTTTCAGCTTCCAGGAATTGTGTACAGATCCTTGCGACCTGGGGCCGTGCATTATCATGCTGAAACCTGAGGTGATGGCAGTGGATGAATGGCACGACAATGGGCCTCAGGATATCGTCACAGTATCTCTGTGCATTCAAATTGCCATTGATAAAATGCAATTGTGTCCCGCAGGTGAAGAAGCAGGAGGTGGAGGTCCTGGGCTGGCATGGTTACACGTGGTTTGCAGTTGTGAGGCCGGTTGGACGTCATGCCAAATGTTCTAAAACGACATTGGAGGCGGTGTATGGTAGAGAAATGAACATTCAATTATCTGGCAACAGCTCTGTTGGACATTTCTGCAGTCATTCTGCCAATTGCTATCTCCATCAAAACTCAAGACATCTGTGGCATTGTGTTGTGTGACAAAACTGCACATTTTAGAGTGGCCTTTTATTGTCCCCAGCACAAGGTGCACCTGTGTAATGATCATGCTGTTTAATCAGCTTCTTGATATACCACACCTGTCAGGTGGATGGATTATCTTGGCAAAAGAGAAATGCTCACTAACAGAGATGTAAACAAATTTATGCACAACATTTGAGAGAAAGCGTTTTGTGCGTATGGAAAGTTTCTGGGATCTTTTATTTCAGCTCATGTTGTGTTAATATTTTTGTTCAGTATATATATATATATAACAAAGGTGAGTTTTTCTCTCTCTGCGCTTTTTCTAGGCCCAATGGCTGTTTCCTCGTCTCTTCACTCTTCACTTGTTCTCAACACCAGTTTAAATCAATAAAGCCTACTGTTCTA